GTTAGAAGGTTGTATTATTCTAACGTCATGTCTGACAGTCGTGGTCATGTGGAGCTGAACTGGCTGAAGTCAGTGCTGTGGAAACAACCACATCCTGTCTTTTCTGACCTCAGTGATCATCAAAGTGCCACCGCTGAACTGAAGCCACTGAGGCTCCTTCACTGTCACAGTGAACCTGGAGCTGGTCCCAGGAGCCGACTCCATGAAACCTGCAGCACTAATGTGTGCTGGAGGTTTCTGACAGATCTCAGCTCCACTGTTACTGCTGGGAAACGCAGACAGGAAACACAGGGGCACGGTGTCGCTGCTCTCATGTCTCACATGAGGCTGAGCAGATGGAAAAGGGGGGACATGAGGAGCAGCTTGAAACAAGGCTCTCTATCAGGGACCGCAGAAAGAGCTGAGAAAGGCGCTTTGCGCGGGACTGGGGCCCAGCAGGCCTCGGCCTGAGGAAGGCTGGGGAAGGAGATGGTGATTGGGTAGGGGAAGCCAGTGAGGGCGTGGAGTTAGAAAGGGAATAGGAAGGAGCAGAAGGGGCCTCGTGGAGGGAGGCTGCATCTGAGCTGGTAGTTGACCTGGGAATAACGGAGGAGGGGAAGACAGATGGAGCATAGAGGAAGGAGAAAGGAAGGGACCAGGCAGCTGTGAGTTATGACTGAGAAACAACAAGGATAAAAATAAAACAAGGAAAGGTTATGACTTGAAAGGATACTAATGACAGTGGAAGTAAGATAAGATGACATCAATTACACAAACTGTTCATTCAACAATACTTATCAGGTACGGAATTAAAACTGAACAATAACTGACATGAAAGTCACATAACTTTAGAACATATGTGTGACAAAGAAGGAAAACAGGAATAAAATTGTGAATTAATAGAACTTCAAACTGACTTGACAGAGACAGCACTTGGCCAGCGACCACCTAGCTTGGCGAAGTGTTTCCTGGGCGAGTTGATCCACAGGCCCACTGGGAAATGCAGTTTTCTGAATCGAGGACTGCCAGACCCCTCCATCTGTCAGAAAGGGATTAAGGAGACGTTTTCCTAATTCAATAATCTGCAGTATGTCATAATTTTGTAAGTGTCATGTTTCCTTTTAATCTACTTCCCTGCTCTAGTGTGAAAAGTGTTGCAGTAATGCTAGGGCTGAAACAATATAACAATAGAATGATGTCACCATCAAATAAATACATAAATAAATAAATAGGATACCTACAGCAGGTTGTCAACGTGTTGAAAACAAACAGAAAGGAATTAAACACCCCCATCCCTTCCTGATCATCGTCTGAAAATCATAGTGTATATTCTCCATTCTCAAACAGGAAGCGTGTTTTGTGGGAGTCAGGACCAGCTGTCGCAGTGGCAGGGAAAAACCCATTCCAAAGGTCACTGCTGGTCCATTTCTCAGTATTATAGTCAAAATATCACTTGCGCTTTTTCTCCCTTTCAGTTGGATTTTGGAGGTCTGGAGATAGTCAGTGCAATATTCTAGAAAACTACCACCTTTCTGAGGCATAATCTCCATAAATCTTGGCATATCCCAACATGTATGTCCACGCCTAAAATTTGTTGCCATTCTATACGTCAAAAGATTTGCCATATTTAATGACCATCCTGTTGTATGCTATGCAGTGGGATAGTCTGAAAACTAAAACAAACAATATAACAAGCAAAAAAACCCTAAGCAAAATATACAAGTTCAAATGTCCACAGTTACTTACCCACAGTTACTTCTGATCCTTCTGTAGTGTGTTATGATGATTCTTGGCCACCAAAATGTAAGTATGCAGCTCAGAGTAATCTAATAACATTGTATGTTTCCTTTTCTCCATTACAAAATGCCATTTTCAAAAGGCCCAAACCTGTCACACATCTACATACACAACCCTAATTATAATCTTCCATTTGTTTGGTCTTCTCGTAGCTAAAATACCTTTTTCTTTACTTTGTGTCTCCAGTTGAATAATGTCTGTTCCCTCTCTACCTCTGGCTCTCAGCCTCTCTGGGTCTATAGATAGAGAAACAGGCCCATTGTTCTAAGTGACAGAATTTCCTTCCTTTGCACTGGACAACACCTATATCCTGACTGAGAGAGAGAGAGAGAGAGAGAGGGAGAGTTTGGTGGAAAGCAAGAAAGTGAAAGAAGGGTGAATTTACACACATCTTTCAGACCTTGTTCAGAATATTATATATTCTACTGTACACAATAATAGATATCTATCTTTTGGTCTGTCTAAATTAAATAAAAATGTGATGTCACTGTTTATTCCTAACACACAGAAAATGTACAAGTTTGAATCTTTGCTGGATAGAGGATGAAGGAAACGCACACAGACAGGAAGCTCGAGGGAGCAACATGAACACCTGTGATCTTTGACCTGGTCTTTGACAGGAAGACGGTGATGGAAAGAGAAAGGAGACTGTCACTGTGTCCCAGTTCACAGGGTGGATTATCTAAAATCCATATTGCTACAGGTTTGTCCTATTTTAGAGGGTATGTTGCTATTTCATCATAATCATAATAACTTTTATTGGCCAAGTATGTTACGCACACACAAGGAATTTGTCTCTGGTACAGAACCGAGGCAGCCATCTGTGGCACCAACTCACACACACACACCGATGGCATTATTATTCATAGAAGGAAAACTGAACAGATTTCTTCAGTTTAAATGTGGACAACATGAACAGTAACTGTAAAATAACCCCAATAATGAAACCAAATAATCATTTTGCTTTACTTCATTTAACCTCATATCTGAAAAGAGCTGTAATACTCAAGCTAAGCCCAAAGATTAAATGTATTGATTCAAGTCATTGGATGAACTTATAGTTAAACTGTACTAAACATAAAACTGAATCTTACCAGTCACCTTTTAAGCACAGCCTATTTAATAGGCTACTAAAAGGACATGGGATATTACTTTAAGTAAGAGCAAAGTACCTTTAATGCAAATAAAGGTGTGGACACCTTTGTTTTCAAGATCTGAGCTCTCTGTTAAACTTGCACTCTCACTGACAAGAGATATAATTTTTTTCTCTGAATTCAGGTGAGTTCTTGTTTACGCTTGTTGTAAGATTGGCCTATTTGGTCTTAACTGTGGCAACTTCACTGCTGCAATAACACTAATCATTTTCACACATTTACATGATTAGATGACAGGGCATGCTAGTGATCATTATTAAAGTCGTTATAATGTAATAAACCTAAACAGAACAGTTAGAGAAACATGGAAGATGAAGTTGGGTACGGGGTCTTAATATGCAGAGGTATTTCCACAGCCTGATATCCCAGCGTCCTCTGCGCGTCGACACGGAACGACATCTTTTCCAAGAGGACACATCTACAGCGGTTCCAAGGTTAGCCGCCTGCAACTCCTACACTTATTTATATCATTTTTAACTGTTATGTTAATCTTTGTCAGCCGTTTTGAGTTTTAATAAACGGGTATTCTAGGAAGAACTAGGCGTTCTCAAATGTGTTAGCTAACGTCCAGATTAAACTATGCTAACCGTTTAGCAATGAGCTAACTGACACTGTCAAGCAGTGTGAATGGTATGTACTATGCTAAATTGTATTCAAAGCTATGTGGTCTTGTCGCGATTTTAATAATTGCCTGTCAAGCGAGGTATCAGATTAGATAGCTAGTTTGCATAGATTTATCATGATAATCCCGCACTGTATAGCAATGCTAACCTAAATTTAACTTTGATTGCACTCCTATTTATATCTTAGCCAGCTAACTGTGAGCATTGTGTTGAGGCTACGTCGTGATTGGTGTCAAGTAACGTGTTTTATAAACCTGATGCAACTGCAAATTAATTCATTCCGTTTCTTTTTTTCAGTGTTGCTTGATTGAAGCTGATAAAGATGTCTGAGGCTATTAATGAGAAGATAAAAAATTACAGTACTGCTCCCTTTGACGCCCGATTCCCCAACACCAACCAGACACGCAACTGTTACCAGAACTACCTGGGTGAGGGCATTGGTCAATATGTACTTACTGCACCTTCAAACAGCATAATCACATTTACCTTTTTAACCATAATAATGTATGAAAGTGGCCAATCTTTGTTTGTGTTTGTGTGCTTTTCCTAATCTTGTTTGGTCTGGCCTTCTCTTACAACTTTAACATAAAAACAACCACTCAACTGGTCATCACTTACCACCTCACATTACAGCTTTAACATCTTGTAAACAACTGAACAAAGCTAAGATGAGCTCTGAGTTGCATGTTTTGTCAAGATTGGACTGTTGCCCTTGTTGCCCTTGTTGATATTTAGGGTTTTTTTTTTCTCCAGACTTCCACAGGTTCTTTCCTTAGGACTTGGATGTTTTGTTTTATAGTGTAACTTTGAACCTTTTTGATATTTAGGGTTTTTTTTTTTCTCCAGACTTCCACAGGTGCAACAAGGTCCTGTCAGCCAAAGACCACGATGTCACTGCTTGTGAGTGGTACAAGAGGGTTTACAAGAGCCTGTGTCCCATAGGCTGGGTAAGACTTAAGATGACAGCTCTGATAGTTCACACTTGATGTATAGGGAGTATGTCACAATGTTTTTTGGAAGTTCTCCCTGAACATGCTGAAAGCTTTTTGTTCTGGATAGGTGGATAGCCAAGGCTATTTTACAGTATATAGGCCAAACAGACTTTTTACCTCTTGCTGTGCACACAATAAGCTGCTTGTGATATAGGGCTATAAGATGAACACAGTTTACATCCTTGATTACATATTTCTTTTCTCATGCAAGTTGGCATTACATTTACTTGTCATATGGCTGATATTTTCCTCTGATGTCTCCTATAGGTTGATAAATGGGATGAGCAGGTAGAGAATGGAAGTTTCCCTGGGAAGATCTAAAATCAACAACTGTTATCAACTCTGGATATTTCACAGCAGGACATACTTGCACCTTTACCTCTGAGTAGTGTGCCTAAGGATGTCCAATATCACATCATCATTGATGTTACCATTACTAATTTAAACTATAAATGCGCACAAATTTTTACCCTGCATGATGATGTCTGCAGTTTGTTTTCAGGCTCAGCTGTAAACTGCTCTCCAGTATTGTTTATTCAATAAAGTACAGATTTAATTAAAAGGGTATTGTTCATTATGAAGTCTTAATGTTTTTAGATTGACTTGCGTAGCATTTTTCAAAATTAGTACAATTGGTTGATGTAACAACAAATCTTTTATCCATATTTAAGGCAACATCAGGAATGAATTTTTTCCAACTATCACTGTCAATGGGATTGTCAGACACGTGATGACATCAGACTGGTGATGTGATATATGTAACGGTCAAGCTATACTGTCTCATATTTTAACATTCTTATTCATTAGTAATTGAATTTTAAAGATGCTGAAAGTCAGCAGGCCAGTAGTCTCATCAGTCTTTTCTGTTCATGGCAGCTCTACTGAGTTTATGTTGTAACTGATTGCACCACAATCTGTAGGAAAAAAATTCCCAGAATCCCTTAATGATTTATTTTAAAGCTAACTGTTCTCTCTGGTGACATGTCTTCCAAATTGTACAGGTCTGTCTGTAGCTACTGCCTTATTAATCAGGTTTATTTTTAAGTGACAATATTGCATTTGACAAGTTTACTTACTCAGAGTGTAGTGGATTATCCAGCACGGCCTTAGCTGTCTTTATTTTACTGTCACATCCTCTTCATCAAATTTTTGCAGACTATATTTACACCAGAGATGACAGTACATGCAGCAATCTGCTCAAGTGTTTAGTCTTCCCTTGTACACCCTATTGTCTGTCTACTGTGAAGACAGTAGCACAACAGCTTGTCCAGAGGGTGGCAGTGTTTCTGAAATCAGATGCAGATTTTGGTGTAATTGTCAATTTTAACCACACTGTGGCACAGTCACACAGGGACCAGAAACACTGGCCCAATAGTCTACCTGATAATTTTAGGCCCAACACTAAAAAGACTGGTTTGGTGATAGTGATGTATAGTGCCTATAAAAGTATTCAACCCCTTGGATGTTTTACCCTTTTATTGATTTTATAAATCAATCATGTTCAATATAATTCTACACCCTCAAGTTATTTGTAGTGTTTCAGTAAACTAAGTCTGGATACCACAATGTTGTAATCAGAGGCGGATGTGTGGAGGTGCGTGTGTGTTTGTATGTGTGCCTGACATCCTCTGCTTTCTGTGAATGTCTGTAATGTGAAGACACCAAGTCTGAAATGGTACAAAAAATTTACTTTATGTACTGGCAGGAGATACCAGTCAAAGGTTTGGATGTGTTCCTATTCAATTCAACACAAAGTGGCATTATTGCACAACATTTAGATTGGTAAAAATCCTCAGCATAACCTACTGCTCCATCCTTCTCTATTAGCCCTCTCTCCAGCTGGTCAGATCTTTAACCATCCTATTATCCTCGGGGCCAATTTGGCCCCGTTCAGGGTTTAACATCTAAATAAATGGTTGACATCTTAATAGGAGGGTTAAGATAAACGCCATTTAACCAACAGATCATCATTGTAAATGTATGCATATCATATTTGAACCAGCACAAGATACAAAACTTAGCAAATATACCAATAATGTTACGCTGAACTGAATGAAAGTGTGTATAAAATGATGCAAACATTTAGAACATTTCTGTTTGATGCAGTAATTCTGCCATTTAAACTGTGAAATACATCATAGGCCTTTTGGAGTAGTTTCAGTAAAGTGATGGAATATTTAGGATATACACTGTGTGGTGAAGTGTGGGGGAACAAAGTCATTTCTTAACTTTTAATTAACCAAATGGGAAATTTGGGGGTTTGAGGTACTCATCACTTGTGTTCTAACATTGTTGAAGCAATACATGAGAACAGGAATGCAAAATCTTTGGTGTTCTAATTAGGCAAAACATCTATATTTTAAATCTCTTTAAGTCCCTAGGGTATCTTCCAGCCACACTGTAAAGTATAACTTACTGTTTCAACGTAAACATATGAGAGAAAGGCTCGCCTTTTTCTAACACCACCAAATGTCATCTTGATTAAATATCACTTATTGGATAACTGCTTAGTTAGAACTTGCTAAACCAATTCAGCTGAATGCAGACTGCAGGTTGTGTAAACTTTTATGGTGTTTATTTGATTTTGAACTCCTTCAGATGTTCATTGAACATAAACATCTATTACAACATATTACTGTAGCCTGATGTGTGAAGTTCATCCTTAACAAGACAACATGAGTCTGCTCTCAGTGTCATTGTGAAACTTCATGACCAAGGACCGAGTTAAGTACTAACATTCATTGTGGTTAGCACTGTTTGCATCATATCTGTTCTCTTCAGACTACAAATACTTGAGTCTCTGGAGAGTATGAATTCTCAATGCATGCTGGGAAATTGCTACTATTTTCTTTCAAAACCTAATATAATGAGTTGAGTGAACTTTCAGCAGTTCATTACTTTCAGGACAAAACACCTCAAGACAGAAAAACTCATGTTAATAAGATCCAATGTTTACTGGAAAAAAAAATAGAAATATTCAGCTGAATTAAATTGGCAAACAATTCACTGGATACTGCCTCAGTCTGCAGGATGTGGTTTGTCATGAGTGGGTTTGTGTGTGTTTGAATTTGTGTAATAGAAATGATGTGACGTGCCTGCAAACTTGTATGGTGTACCATCACTTCCTTCCTGCTCACTGCCTCTTATGCTGGCTTTTTATGCATTTGTGTTTGCTCTTCACAGCCATCTTCTATTTATAAGACAATTCACTCAGAGCAGGTCTGAGGAGGAGATACTGCTGAAACCATTTTCTACAACAGGGATACAGTTGGCATGCTGAAATAGAGAGGTGTGTTTTGCAAAGAATATGTGTAATTTAGGTGTAATGTTGCAAGCACTGGAAGGTTCGGTGCAAGGCACTGAACCTTAACGTCTGTATTTCTCTCTCTCTCTCTGTTACTTCCTTTTTTGGTGTTGGATGGTTTTGTTGATTATTTAAAGATTGAATGAAATAACTGCAATTCTGCTGAAGTCCCTGTCACGTTAAAAAGAGCCTAACAAATGAGATCACCATTAAAACAGATTTCTGGTCATGCTTTTCCTCAGAGCTCTGACTATTATTGTACTGATTAACAGAATGCATTAGTGATGACTTCTGCCTTGTTTGCAGACCTAAGGAAATGTTAATTTAGAAAAATTAATACAGGAGCTCTAAGAAAATGTTTATGAATGGGGACTTGAAATGCAAGTGGACCTGTAGTTGTGTGGTATTCAAAAGTATGTGAACAACACCCCGACTCCACAGGGACCTATGCACAGGCCCTCTTTGTGGACTTCCACTCAGTGTTCAACACCATCATCCCAGACATCCTCCACTCCAAACTGACCCAGCGCACTGTGCCTGCCCCCACCTGTCAGTGGATTACTAGGACAGACAGGAAGCAGCAGGTGAGGCTGGAGAAAACCACATCCTGCACCCGGACAATAAGCACAGGCGCCCCCCAGGGATGTGTGCTCTTCCTTTTGCTGTTTTCACTTTACACCAATGACTGCATCTCGAAGGATCCCTCTGTTAAACTCCTAATGTTTGCAGATGACACAACGGTCATTGGTCTCATCTGAGATGGTGACGAGTCAGCCTACAGACGGGAGGTTGAGCAGCTGGTCCTGTGGTGTAGCCGCAACAACC